ATCTTTATTAATAACAAATTAATTCTTAAACAAAACTATTAAATATAAATTACGCAAACGTGCATTGCACGTTGCTTGCACATAGTATATATATATATATATATATTGTAATTGCAACAACAAAAAAGAAAAAAAAAATTTACCTCAGTCCTCAAATACTGAGGCAGGAGCCTGGAAAAAATCTCCGACGGGTTTGGGTTTGGTTCGAAAGAAATAAGGCTATGGCATTTATTTTTATTTTTACTTTTATGCTTCCAGTTAGCAGATGAAATTCAATGGCTATGTCCACGGCTTGTACGTGCCGTGTCTGCTGAAAATGGAGAAGGAAAGCGAAAGAGATGAGACTGTAGATTTGGGCAGGCCTGGCATGGTTTGTGTTGGTTTTGGGCCAACTCGAAACCCAAAACAACTTGGGTAGAGGAATGTTCTAGTTTTAGAGGGAATTACATAAAGGGAATATTACATATTCAAGAGTATAAGTTTAGTCTATTTCAAAAATAAGAACACAGGTTTAAAATTATAAAAATCAGATTTTTATTAGATTTTTTTAAATTTTTATTTATGAAATAATAAATTATTAAATTAATTTATTATTAAATATTTAATTCTAATATAATATAATTAACCCATCCCACCTTCACCACCCCTACCGTTCCGATCACCGCCTTACTCCGGCGAACTTTTCCGGCGACTTCCCGACGACTGTTCCGGCGAAGTTTTCCGGTGACTTTTTCGATTCTAACAATTATTTATCTTATTAATTAAATATTTATTTATTTTATTAATTAAATATAATGGTGTTACAATTATACAATTAATGGTCACATATACATAATTAATTGGTCACAAATTATTTTTGAGGTCACAAATCAAAAAAATTATATGTCAAGATTTTTTTATTGGTCACAAATCAAAAAAATTGTAGGTCACTGATTATTTCGAAGTCACAAATCAGGTCACATATTTGATAAATTTATTGGTCACGAATTAATTTTTAGTCACAATTTTAAGGTCACAGTTAGATTTTTTTTGTGACCACTCCCGTGACCACCACCAATTATATATATAATTAACCCATCCCCACCTCCACCACCCCTATCTTTCCGGCGACCGCTCCGACGACCTCTTCGGCGACTACTCTGATTCCGACGACTGTTCCAACTCCGGCAAATATTCCGACGACAACTCCGCCATATTTTGTACAGTTGACATGATTTTTTGTACGGTCACAGCTCAAGTCACAAGTCACAACACATGTCACAGCCCAGGTCACAAGTCACAACGCAAGTCACAGCCTAGGTCACAAGTCACAACGCATGTCACAACCCAGGTCACAACGCAAAAAAACATCAGAATACAAACTAACATGCTCCATTCACAATCATAAACGCCAAACAACACCAGTCAAAAACGCCAGCCCCTATACCATCAGAAATGCACTCCCCAGCCATCCATCCAGGAACTGCGCAGAACTCAAACCCATCAACACCATCGCAAGCAACAGTATGGGAAACTGGGGACTTGGAATCATACTAGCCCAAATCAACCAAAAAGAGCTAGCCTGATGAAACGAGATCAAAGCTGCAGTGGGCAGGAAGGGGAAAGGGAAAACTGAGAAAGCCAAGTACTAATTATAAGAAAACATCAGTAGGGCATTTGAATAATTGGAAATCCAAGCTAGGCATTTTATAGAACACTTTACGTGCACTCTTGGGTTAATATAGGGAACTTGGGATTCTGCTTCTTCCGTGCAGTAGCCCCACTCGCTGTCATCAAAACCAGAATTCGGGTTGGGGTTTGACACAGAACTCGAGTCTTGGGTTAAAGAATTCAACGTAGGTTTAATTGCAGGTTTCGGATCTGTCAATTTTTCTTCATTATTATTCATGGTGGTGGTTGTGGGGTGGTCGGATTCGAGTTTTACCGGGTACAGCCGGCGACGGGAGTACAGCCGGGTAACGCTGCTGTGAACTCGCAGCAGCCTCGGTGGCGCCATTTCATCTTCTTATCTTCCGGCGGTACCGACGCAGCTTCCTCCGGTGGCAGACAGAGAATGAGAGGAGAGAGAGAAGGGAGGGGGTAGAGAGAGAAAGCAAATGAAATTTTTTGACGGGAATTAATTAGGGTTGGATTATATATATTTAGTAAAAATATTTATTTTATAAAAATATTAATTAAAATAAAACGT